TCTTCATGTAGAGTTGAGGTCCTGCCACAGCATTCCTTAGTGACCTAGAGCTCTTCATGTAGAGCTGAGGCCTTGTGATCTTTACCCCTCCACTCTAGCGTGTCTACTGCTGTGTCCGTGTTCAGCTCACATTTGGGCGGTCATGTTGGTGAGACTGTATGATACAGCTTCTGACGTTACCAAGAGACATAGTCTCACAGCAAAACCCTTGATCCTCTGGCTCACAACTGCCTATGACTCCATAAGATCAAACCCTCTTCCGGCCACTGAGAGCACCTACTCATGTGCACATACCCACACACAGACACCTAAACATATGCATGCTTAAAATAAAATAAATCTTTAAAGCAAGAATGGAGGGGTACATATGGGCCTTTGGAGTGTGGGGAAGATTTAGTAGTTTCTAGACTTTCCATATAACCTATTGTGTAAAGTATGCTCTCGGGAGCACAGGTGAGGAGACTGGGCTTGAAACTGATGAAGCAGGTGGTATATCTAACCTCTTCTGCTCTGACCTACTGTGTGCCTGTTAGATGGATGGAACAGAGCAAAAATGAACTGCAATAAAAAAAGGTTTTGGTAAATTTTCAGGTAACTAAATTGTAATTGATACCTGTAAGGCTCAGGCTATAGACACATTCACACATTCAAAGTACAATTCTTCGGTCTGTTAAAGAGGAATTTTGAAAGGCTGAGAAAAATCACTCCAAATGGCTAAAAACAACTAAGTCTTTTCTCCCAGGTAAGTGTGTATTACCCTTAATGATACCAATATCGATACAAGCAAACCAGGTGAAACTATCATATAAAATTGGAAATAATAGGTATTTACTAGATGATTTATCTAATTACTCAGCTGACACTAAATAGCACCTAAGGCTCAACTGTTTTTAGGGAATATTTGGAACAAACTCTAGATTCATAGTAACCTTTCCTATCATCCAATAGGCTTCAAAGAGCCTCAAGGTGATTCCAGGAAACAAGGCATGGGGACATGTCTCGGATGCTCTTAAATGAAAACCCATGAGCATACTTAAGAATATGGCACTAACCAGGGGGTATATGGGGGCGACTCTAGCCGAGACTCCTAGCAGGGAGGATTATGGATTCTGAAGTGGCCACTTCCTCTAGCCAGGCAGGACTCCCAGTGGAGGGATAAAGACAGTAACCCACCCACAAAACCTTCGACCCAAAACGTGTCCTGCCTACAAGAAGTGCTGGGACAAACATAGAGCAGAGACGGAGGGTATGACTAACGAATAACTATCCCGAATCAACACTATTAACGATACTCTGTTATGACTGCAGACAGACACCTAGCATAATTGTCCTTTGAGAGCCTCCGCCCAGCAGCCAATGGAAAGAGATGCAGAGATCCACAGCCCAACATTAAATGGAGCTCGAGGAGTCTTATGGAAGAGCTGGAAGAAGGATGAGGGACCTAAAGAAGACAGGGACTCCACGGGAAGACCAACAGAGTCAACTAGCCTGGGCCCTTGGGGGTTCCCAGAGCCTGAATCACCAAACAAAGAACAAGGACTGACTGGACCTAGGCCTCCTGCACATATGTAACAGGAGCAGCTTGGTCTTTCTGCGGGTCCCCTAACAACTAACTGGAGAAGCTGTCCCTGAATCTGTCACCTGCATGCCTGTGGATCCTGTTCCCCTAAATGGTCTGCCTTGTCTGGCCTCAGTCGGAGAGGATGCACCTAGTCCTGCAGGGACTTGAGTGTGTGGGGGTAACACCCAGAGTGGGGCTCCTGCTTCGCAAAGTAGAAGGAGAGGGTGGAATGGGGGGTGGAGATCTGCATGAGGGGGTACTGGGAGGAGACAGAGGGTTGATATTGTGATGTAAAGTGAATAAATGCATTTAATGAAAAATGAACATGGCATTGAATGAATATTATTTTTATTGGCTTCTGTGGGTGAGGCCTAAGTCTAACCTTGTATTTATTTGGTGTTTCAAATTTTAATGGATGTCGACACAACTTTTCACTGGCGTTGAGTAATAGCCCAGCAAAGAATTTGTCTTCGCTAATTACTTTGTGTGTTTACATGTATAGGTATGCATGTATGTGGCATATGTATGTATTCATGTCAGTGAGTGAACATATTTACACAGATGTGTCCACACATGTGGAAGCAAGAGGTCCATATTGGGTTTATTCCTCAATCAATCCCCACTCCATTTTTTTTTTTTTGAGACAGGATCTCTCATTGAATGTGGAGCTCCCTGATTTGGCTAGGCTGCCAGGTCAGTGATGCAGGGATGGTATGTCCCTGCCCTGCTTTGCCCATGCTGGAAATGTGGTACCCAGCATTTGTATGGATATTAAAAATCCAGACTCAGGTCCTCGTGCTTGAACAGCAAGCACTGTACTGACTGAGCCTCTCCCAACTATGATTTCCTCTGACTTAAAGAGCGCGTTTTCAAGGAACTAGGGATTCCTTTTTTATTATTATTATTTTATTTAGGGTCATAAAGGAAAGCTTAGGCCCACAGATTTTATGACTAGTGTTCTTTAAAGGATAGCATGATTTCTTTCAACTTTAATAAAAATTCTATCAATGTTTTACTTAGGAAATGAATATTGAATATCTAATTGTAAACAAGCAGAAAGGAATTAATAAATTATTTTTTAATATACATCATTTATATTAGTAACTTATTTCTCTGCATTTATTAATGATTTTATTGTTAATAAATTTACTTATTATAATCATCTATTATACATTAGACATTATATTTATAATAATTTATTATATTTATAAATATATTTATAATATCTATAATATTTATAATAGCAATGAAATATGTATACTATAGATAATTTGTAATTCTAATTATATTTTATACAATCATATATTAGATAGAATGTATTATATAATAAATTATAACATTATACCATAATTACATGTCACATATTAGAAATTGCAAAATATATAAGTATATATTTATAAATTATATATTATATTATACCATATATATTATAACATATTATATTAAAGGCATGTGCCACCACTGCCTGGCTGAGTTGAATTTCTTTAGTATTAAAATTCTATGTGGAATGAAGCAATGCATTGTAGACAACAGGTCGGGAAAGTTCCTAATAAAGTACTATTAAGATAAAATTTGATGTTCTAAAATGCTTTTGCTTCCTAGTAATGGCAGGTATGATTTCACACTTAAATAATCCCAAAGCATACGGGCAGTTATCATATGTAAAAGGCTAGCCTGTCAATGCACACGTATCTATCTGCTGCTTTAAGTGTCTCAGTAAGATAGGTAGCATCAATGTGCCTCTCCAATAAGGAAGGTTCTGATAAAGTATCTAAAGAAATAGTTACCTGACTTTTGTTGCATAATAAGCTGAATTCATATATTTTTAACAACCTTTCCAATTTCTCAAATCTTTCCTTCTGGACTATAGCAGCAATAAAATACCACAATTTTAATTTGTGTTTTCTCAAATTCTCTATGTATTAGTTGAAAACAAAGGAGTAAATACTTTACATATTGGATGGCATAAAGCAAAACACACACATATCTGCACCAGGGGCTGTTGTGATCCATCAGAAAGTGTAGGACCTTACTGTCATCCTGCACAGTCCCTAGTATACTTTACTTGACCACGGTAAGTCTCCTAGAGTCACACTCTCTTGGTGACCCTCAGTGGCAGGTAATACTTCATACTAAGAAACTCAAATTATCCAACCCGAATTCCCCAGTTAGTTTGCTTACCCCAAAGGTCTGAGGCCTTCCCCTCCTCTCATTTCTCCTTTAAGAGACAGCGCTCTCCTTGAAAACTGGGTGCTATTTCATATAATCTCACCCTCTTTCCCATGTCTACAGCACTCAGTCTCCCCCTTCCTTATCAATCTTTGTCTCCAAGTTAAAAGCAGTCACTTTATCTGACATCCAAGCATTTACTGCGTCCAAAGTGAAGGAGGAAGCAATGGGGCAAAAGGAGAGAATTAGACACATTTAACCCACTAAATGGAGCTTATATTTATTTTGCACAAATCGTAAGGCTTTATTTTTAGTTATACTACAGAGCCACAGCAACACGAATAGCATGATACTGGCACATAACCAGGTATATAGATCAATAAAAAAGAAGACACAGAAACAAACACATGAAGCTGCAGCCATCTGGTTCTAAACAGAGGCTCCAACTGATGTGTAGGAGAAGACAGCCTCTTTGACAAATACTCTGGGAAAAGCTGTCTGCCACGGAGAAGAGTGAAACTAGATCCATCTCTCACCTGGTACAGAAATCAAGTCGGACTTGAACATTTGAAATCCAGTGAAAAATAAAGGGGAAACACTATAAGATATAGATAGAGGCAAGGACTTTCTGAATAAAAGACAAGAGCAACTGTTGACAAATGGGCTTGCAAGAAACGAAAAGGCTGCACAGCAGGCTTGGGAGACAGCTCCAGGGGGCAAAAGACTTGCTTTGTAAAGGACCTAGGTCTAAATCGCTAGCTCTCAAGGTTTTAGTTTTTGGTTTTGGGTTTTTTTTTTGGGGGGGGTTTCATTTTTTTTTAACCCAGGTGTGTTACACATGCCTGTAATGCCAGCATTAGGAGGTGTGGCAGATCCCACTGGCCAGCCAGCCTCGTGGAAATATCCAGCTTCCTTTAATAATGAAATATCAAGCCTCCCAATAATGACACAGAGACTTATATTTATCTATGAATGTTTAGGCCTTACAGCTTAGGCTTGTCCCCAACTATCTTGTATAACACAATCACAGTTTATACGAATCTATCTTTGCAATGTGGCCTGTTACCTTGAATTCGGTCCGACTTCCTATGGCAAATGTCACCCGCCAGATTCTCTCTGAGTTCCTGTCTCTGCTGGAAGTCCCGCCTTTCATTTCCTGCCTGCGCTAAGGGCCGTTAAAGCCAATCAGAAGGTGATGGAGAAGAATGTTTGCAAAACATGGGTGATGCTTCAGAAAAATAACAATACCAAAGTCCAGTCAGTATTCCGCACTTTGCTGGTACAGAAGTCAACATTTGGGTAATACAAAGACATTTACACAGGGCCCAAGAAGAGTATCTCAACAGCTTCCAGTTCAGTGAGAGCCTCTGCCTCAAGGCAGAACACGGTAGAAGGCAGCTAACGTCCTGCTCTGTCCACCCCATGTGTGTTCATAAGCAGGTGCACATCCACACTCCATGTACAGGCCACACTATGCATACACACATCACACACATATACATGCACCACAAAAAAAAGTTGTACAGGAATATAAACAGCAGACTGAAGAGGCAGCATATGGAAAGGAGAAAATCCTTGCCATCCTTTAATCTCACGGGGATTTAATAGTCAGAAAAGAGCTAAAAAATGAAATGCCAAACAACCCAGCCAATAAGTTGGATACAGCTGTATTATTATTATTATCATAATCATCATTGTTTGGGATTTCAAGACATCTTTAACTATCAGGGAAGCATAAATCAAAATTAGACAGAGGTTCCATTTCACGAGTGAGAGTAGTCATTGTCATGAAAAATTCTGATGAGGCTATAGGGGAAAGGAAATTAGTATCAAAGTTTCTCAAATATCAAAAAATAAAACTGCCATATCATCCATACAAATCCTGCATACGAACCCCTAAAATTCAGTCAGCATATGATAGAGATAATGGCAAACCCAAATTTATTGCAGCAATATTTACAACAGTTGATTTAAGGGATCAGCCTAAGGGCCCAGCACTGAAGAAAGGAAAAAGAAACTGTGGTATGGGCTGGAGCAATGGCTCAGCTGTTAAAGGGTAAGCTCACAACCAAAAATATAAGAAAATGCAGTATATCGACAAAATGGAGTTTTATTCAGTCATAAAGAAAAGTAGAACCTGGGCTGGAGAGGTACCTCAGTGGTTAAGAATAGATACTGCTTATGCAGAAGATCCAAGTTTGGTTCCAGCACCTACCAAGACACTCACAGCCGCCTGTAACTCCAGCTTCAGGGGATCTGTGCCCTCTCTGGATTCTGAGATTCTAGATTCCCACATATGCACATAGCTACATGCAGACAGACACACACACACACACACAGTTAAAGACACACAACACACAACAAAAATATATTATTTTGCAGAAAAGTGGACAAAACTGGTTATTAACATGTTAAATGAAATAAGCAAGTCTCAGAAAAACAAAAGTAGGTTTTCTGTAATATTTTTGAGTCCAGTGTCTTAGTTACTTTTCTATTGCCATTACAAACACCATGTCCAAGGCTGCATATAAAAGAAAGTGCTTAATCTGGAGATCACAGTTCCAGGGGTTTAGAGTCCTTGAGAAGCACAAGGAGCATGGCAGCCAGTAGGCAGGCCTGGCACTGGAGCAGTAGCTGAGAGCTCATATCTTATCTACAAGAACAAGCCAGAGAGAGAAAAAGAGCTAACTGGGAAAGGTGTGGGTTTTTGAAACCTCAAGGCCCACCCCTAATGACATGCCTCTTCCAACAAGGCCACACCTCCTAATCCTTCCCAAAGAGTTCCACCAACTTGGAATCAAGCATTCAAATATACAATCTGATGGGGGCCATTTTCTTTCAAACCAACACACTCAGGAATATTAAAAAGACATAAAGGTAACAAGGAAATGGCCTGGGAAGAAAATAGTACTCTGCAGGAAAGAAATTCTGACAAGAGAGGTCATGGAGAAGATATAATCAAATTGTATATGAAAATCTCAATGAAATCTATTACCTTGTACAATTAATGCTACACTGATTTTTTAAAATGTCTTTTAAAATAGTCCTGTGGGGACTGGAGATGGCTAAGAGTACTGCTGCTCTCGTGGAGGACTTTGGTTTGGTCCCCAGTACCCACAAGGCAGCTCACAACTTCAATTCCAGGGCATTCCACA